AGATCCCAAAGCAAGCACTTCTCAATTCAGGACCAGCTTTTGTGAGGCCCTAAGAGGTGATACGAAATAATTAACTTCCAAATCCTGCCCCAACTGTTTGCACTGTGAGAATATTCCTCAAACTAAACAAGTCCTCATTCCAATACTGAACAAATGTTGAGACTTTTGTTTATTTTTATATGGGAGGAGGCTTTGGGGGAAGCAAAGTAGCCTAAAACATCCTCCCCGTGGAGTTGAAAAACCTCCAGATGACTGACAAATAATCTTGTTCCCCTAATCTCAGATCTAATGTCTTCCTTTTCCACTGACATAAGAAATATTCTCCTGATTTTTTTTTTTCTTTTTTCAGTACTAGGGATCAAACCCAGGGCCTGGTGCACGCTTGGGCTAGTGCTCTACCAGTGGACTGCAACCCCGACCCTACTCTTGTCTTTAGCCTTTTAGGTTCTTTGTCCCTTCTGCTCGTACCCAGAGATTAAATTTGCATATAAAGGGAGCGTGCATTTTGTCTAAGTGAATTCTATTGATTCTAGCCCGAGCTATCATAGATAAAAATAGGTCTCTGTCCTTCAAGGCAAGAAAAAACAAACTTCAAATAGCAACCTCTCCTCAGAGTCCCAACCAAATTCCTATTGGTTGTGCTTCTGCTGGTCCTAGAGCTCATAATCTGTAGGAAAGACAAAGACCTCTTTCTCAAGGTAAGAAAAAAAAATACAAAAACCATTATTTATACCATTCCAACCATTTGTGCTTTTACTCGTCTCTGTGTTTCTCTCCTTAACGACTAGCTGAACTGTAAATGTTGCTGACAAATCTATCTACCTGCCCTCTGTTGTGGGCCATTCTTGATTTCACCTATCTATATTTTGTTGCCATTCCATACTGAAAAACTGCTCAGAATAAGACTTGCAAACTTTGCCTGAACATTTGCTTCGTTCACTATAATGAGTACTTTACAAATATTATCTATCTCATCTCACCTGCATAATCATTTCATAGAAATAATAGTGAGAATCCCTGCTTTACAGATGAGGAAATGGAAGTATAGAAGGATATTTTATTTAATCTGTAAATGTTTTCTATGAAACTTCCTCGAGGGAAAGATGAAATCTCTGTCAAAGGACTTTATAATAAGAGTAAAGTGCAGGGCAAACACTGCTATCGCCTGCTTCATAACGGGGCACAGTGAATGTTTGTGGAATGAATGAATGAGTAAACATCAGTGGTGTGTACCATGTTTTGTGAAAGTAGAGTTCCTAGAATAATGTGAAACATAAATCCCACAGGCACTTGTGTGATAACTCCGTAGTCCTTCCACAGTACAAGCTAGTTTCTTTCTTCCTATCTTCTCTAATTTTACAACCAAAATGATTGTCTGATTGAATAGCTGTAAAAGGTCATGATGAATTATTCTGTAATATTTGAAATGTTACACTCAGAAAGGTCAAACCTTATTTTTCAGTATGAAGTATCATAGATTTGTTTCTCCTGGGTGCTATTTCTGTTTTCAAAGGAAAGACGGCAAGAAATTTAGAGCAGGGCGCCCTCTTGAGGAAATTTTAGCACCTTGACACTGAAAAAATGACTCCGGGTAAATAACGTACACGACTAATGAAGCTCATAAATGAAATATTTAAAAGTAACAGTGACCAAATACCCGTTGAGAAAGACGGTTTTGAACTATCTAATCTAATTAATACAGCACCTGCAAATAAAACATGTAAAGTGAGAACAAAAACTTCTGGAAGTTATGCCATTTCTTTATACTCTGTCCTTCCCATAATTTACTTATATTTATTAAGCACCTACTTTGTGCCAGGAACTACAATAAACAGTGGTCAATAAAACACAGCCTCTGCCTTCGTGGAGCTTATGTTGGTGAAGGAGATCACAGTGAAAGGAAGCAAATAGACAAGTGAGTACAAACTCAGAAAAGTACTATGAAGGAAGTGGTAAGTGATTAAAGAATGACAAAATAAATTCTATTTTGTTTTACAACGGGAGTCCCTCTGAGAGGAGATAATCAAACTGAGTCAGTTGGCTTTTGAGCCTATTCTAGATTGCTCGTCTAATATGGACAGTCAGGGATTCCGCCATCCTAACCTTATCTCTGCCCTAACCCCTGGACTGCGTTCATCCCGGCTCTGGCCATGAGGGCAAGCGGGCCATTTCCTGCACCCCAGGAGCTGCGTTGCTGCTCTAGTGCTGCCCTCCAGCCCCGCATTCTTTTCTGAGTCGTCTGCTTGATTAACCAACGTCTTTTCTGCTGCTACTGACAGCCCCTGAATCATTAGCACCGTTACACCAAAAGGCCCCGCTGCCAACAAAGTCAAGGATGTAGAGTGTCTGAGAAGATGGAAGAAACAGAACCCAGCTGCTGCTATGCCTTGAGTGGGGAGGGATAAGTAGGCAATTTTAGGCAAAGAACTTGGTCATGCAATACTTCTGCTCACTTTGACCTTGAACTGTCTGTGGCAGCAAGCATAAGGAGGCTTCCAGTCAGAACTGGAAGAAAGAAATTAGATCTCAGAAAAGAGCCCTAAAGAACTATTTTTAGAGAGTTCTGTTTTGTTCCAAAACCCTCATATTGTGCAGGCGCACCGTGTAATGGCTGGCCTGCATCCCCAACATTGTATTGCTCTTGGTCTTACATTGAAGCTTCTTTCTCCAGATTGGAAGATCTGTTTCTTTCATAGGGAGAGTACTACATGCAAGTGGATGGCCTATGAGGACTTCTAGATTGGAGTTCATGTCCACTTGAGTATGGGATATGAACTTTGTGTAAGCTGCTTCTCCTTTAGTTCTTTTTGTAAATAACTCTCTTCAAGAAAACTACCACCCGTCTGTATCACACAGAGGACCTTGGACAAGATATTGCACTCCTTTAAATCTCAGTTCCCTAACCTGTGAATTTGGGGTTTAACGTTTCTGCTCACTTCACAAGTTCATTATAATATATTGGTCAAAATATGCTGAAAACAGTACAACCACATATTGTTCTTAATAGATAGTAATTTGGAAAATACACTAAAAGCTATAAAATATACAGACGCCTTTGACCAGCAGTTGGGTTCTTGATAATTTCTTTTTATGAAAAAGCTTTGTGAAAAATGTGTGCATCAAAACATTTTTCTATAATAGAAAACAGTGGAAACATTCCAAATATTTAGCATTATTAGACTAGATAAATAAAATGTGTTGCCTTAACCCAGTAAAATATTGATCAACCACTGTGTAAATTATATTTCTATGAGAAAGTGTCTAGAAAGAAACATAAAAAATTATTAGCTTAGTGAGTCTTGGAAGCATTGTTTCTTTGATTTCTTTCTCTGAATGTTATACAAAATTATTAAAATACTCAAAATATTTTAAAATTTAAAAAATGACTCCAAAGTAAATTCTCTCTCCATCCTTCTCTCTCCCTCCCTTCCTCTCTCTCTCTCTCTCTCTCTCTCTCTCTCTATTTTTCCTCTCCTCTACTCCCTCTCTATATTTAGGGAAATTATCGTTTCATGAAACTTTTACTTACACGTAGAGCAAATTGGATGCAAAAGGATCTAGAAGAGATGACACCTTTGCACCTGACCACCCGGCACAAGAGCCCTAAGTGTCTGACACTTCTCCTGAAGTTTATGGCACCAGGCGAAGTGGATACACAGGATAAAAACAAGGTAATGCCTGACTAACATGGAGGATAAATGAGAGCAGAAAGCGAATGCTTCCTTTTGAGATGTGTAACCTCAGGTAAGATTGTGTACATCACCACCCATACATATGGTAGAACATGTCTCCATAAACCCCAGTAAAGTATCTCTCTTAAATTCTGTCATCTCGTCCTTCCAGCTACCATATGATCGGTAGGATCTCCTTTTTACAGATGGAGAAACTGAAACAACAGAAAAGTAAGATTTTGCCCAAGATACAAGGGTTAGAACGAGAACTTAAAAATTTAGGCCTGTTTAACTCCAAAGTCTAATAGCTGATAGAAAGTCACAATGGTTCCTGTAAGTAGACAGATTTGTGTTGGCCGTTTGTGTTGGCCATACTCTGCCCTGGGCTTCAGCATAAGATCTCTTGGGTTCAGTCCAAAGTCTGTGACTTACGTGTTCTGTGTCCTAAAGCAAATTACTTAACTCCTTGATACCTCAATTTTCTCATAAATGATAAAAAAAGGATAGTAATATTATTGAGCATAAAAGAAGACAGTATCTACAAATTGCATAAGACGATGCTCAGTGCATGGTATATTCTCCATAAATGTTAGCTGTAAAATAATCACTAGTTTCACGTCAGATCTAACATCTGCTCTAGCATTTAGCTCTAGGGTTTGTTACCTTCCCTGCTCTAGATGTTCAGATAGTGTACACATTGGTCATTGTTTTGACTGATGCTCTGATCGTTCTTTCTAGGTAAAGAAAGTTAGACAAGAGCAATAATCCTTTTCCTTTCCACCAAGCCCTTCATCACACAGTCTTGTTAACTCCAATCAGCCCATGTAATTAAAACTCTAGTAATCTACTGGGTTTATATTGAATAATCTTTTCACTCTCATAGTATTCTTTGTATCATCTCAAAATTTGCTTAATAGAGTTCTGAGATCGACTTACTTTACCAGCACCATACATTAATATTATTCCTAACTCATGGCATCTGTAATGCTAATATTTCACGGAAAAAAAAAAAAGCACTTTGATCAATCCGCAAAGACTCATTACCATTTATGAAGCTTCCCATGTCTTCAAGCTTCATAATGCTACCCCAGAACAGTGTAGGCACTTCCTGCTTCCTAGTCTGCGTGTGCCTCTTTTATCGAACAAGGATGGGCAGTTATGTAATCAGATGGGGGGAAACAGCTGCATCTTGTCCAGGCAGGCAGACACAGGAGAAGACAACACAAGCTTAAAGAAGTGACTTTGAAACTATTTGTGGTAAAGGATCAATTCTCTCTATTTTTTAATTTTTTTAAATTTCTAATCTGTTATAGTTCAGTTGTTTCATAACATACATGAATAACCAAAATTCAACTTTAAATGAATAACTTGAGCATTCATTTCTCAAAAAGTGATATAGAATCAGCCAAGAAGGATGTGAAATGATGCCCAACATTATTAATCATTCAGGAAATGCAAATCAAAATTATAATGAGCTAATTTCTTTGTAACTTTTATGATGCATTATCACAAAAACAGAAAATAACACCTGTTGGAAGGATGTGGAGAAATTTAAACCCTTATTCCTTACTAGTGGACGTAAAAAATTAAATGTAGAATTACCATATGAGACAACAGTTCTACTTTCGGGTATACACCCAAGAGAACTAAAATCAGGAACTCAGACATGTGTCTGTACATCCATGCTCCATAGTAGAGTTATTCACAATAGCTAAAGCATGAAAACAATTCAAATGTCCATTGATAGATAACTGGATAATCAAAACATAGTACCTATGTCTAGATATACTGTGGACTACTATTCAGCTTTACAAAGGGATGGAATTCCGACATGTACTACAAAACAGATAAACTTTTCATAAACATGCTAAGTGAAATAAGACAAACAGAAGACAAATCTTGTGTGGTTCCACTTCTGAGGCACCTAGAATAGTCAAAGTCAGTGAGACAGAAAATAGAATGATGGTTGCCAGGAATTAGAGGAAGGTGGAAGTAACACGATTAAATGGGGATAGAGCTTCAGTTTGGGAAGAAGAAAAAATCCTGGAGATGAATAGTGGTGACGGGTGCACGATAACATGAATGTGCCTAATGCCATTGAACGGCATACTGTAAAACAGTTAAAGTGGGAAATTTTATACTATGCCTATTTTGCCACAGTTGAAAAATAGAGTTACTAGAAAAATAAAAAATGAAGCCATAGAAAATAAAAACCAAAACTTTTTATTACTAGGCTGAATATATATTTTAGTAAATATAATTAGAATAAACAACATATAAAAAGGAATTACAGAAATGATACTGTTTATGGAAAATGTTGTAGGCATTTAATTGCCATTATACTTGTGATTTTATTGTGTTCTGCCGTTGCTACTAATCAAAAGTAATGAGTCAAACAGTGACTTCATATTGTAGATACCTTCGGAATGAATGCCATCTATGTCACTGTCTAGTTTTTAATATGACAGATGAGCTTCATTCTACTCTTTATTTAACTGTAGATTGGATTGATGGATATGCTACTTGCAAAGGATAATATATATGTAAACTCATTCTATGTTTTCCCTTAATAATTCTCCTAATGAGGAAAGCAGTCTTACAGAAGTATATTCATGAGTGGTTTTCAGACAACCTCTACAAGTTCAAGGCAATCATTTTAAGCTTTCATTTGAAATCAAATACTGCTGTGTTTTCAAAATGTCTCTTTTCATCAATAACTAGGTCTAATACTTATGCTATAAAATGATAATTAAATATAAATTTTTCTTTTGATATAAGGAATGGATTCCAGATCTATAAATATCCCGTGCAGATATCTTTTTTGGATAGATATTAACATTCAAATCATCTATCAAATTCCAAAGTGATTCGTGATGACCAGATATGCAATATCAAGATTGTCACTGACTTCACTGATAATTGTTCATAAACTATTGGGCTGCTTCTACCTTACTTTTTATTATTATTGTTAGTACTTGAACTAAATAACTCTAGATTAAGAGTACAGACTCTGGGGCTGGGGATTTAGCTCAGCGGCAAAAGCGCTTGCCTGGCAAGCACAAGGTCGTGAGTTCGGTTCCCGGTACCGGAGAAAAACCAAAGAAAAAAAAGAGTACAGACTCTGGAGTCAGACTGCCTGGGCTAACAATCTCAGTTCAGCTGTGTACTATTTTATGTCCTTGCAAATTATTCATCCTTCTTGTGTTTGTTTACCTCATCAGTCATATGCAAATTATAGAGTGCTTATCTCCCAGAGATCTGATGATGACCATGTAATGCAAACTACATAGAACGCTTATGACAGTGCCTAGGACAATGAAAGCTTGGGTGGAGTTACTTGTTATTTCGCTCTGCTTTTAATTGCCAACCTCTCCATCTTGCAGCAAACAGCTCTGCACTGGAGTGCCTACTACAACAATCCTGAGCACGTGAAGCTGCTGATCAAGCACGATTCCAACATTGGGATTCCTGATGTTGAAGGCAAGATCCCACTGCACTGGGCAGCCAACCATAAAGATGCAAGCGCTGTGCATACAGTGAGATGCATTCTGGTGAGTAGAATGGTACTGTAGACCTAAATGCCTTAAAAAAAAAGGAAAGTTGACTTCTCCGGCTTTTGAAAAGCATATGTATGACTTACAAAGAAATTATGAACCAAAGAATACAACAAATATGTGGCCCCATCTCCAAAAAGGTAGATTTCAACACCACTGTTTAAGACCACCTGGAGGTTGTGTCCACACCCCCACACCATTCAACTTCGTGTCCCCTAATCAAATGCTTTCGTGATTTTGCATTGCTAATTCTCTTACATTGTTTTATATTTGCTTTATTAAATAATGAATAGATATAAGTGAATATCAGTATACATGATAAAGCATACAGAAACAACAAATTCATGTCCTCACTGCTGAGTTTAAGAAAAGGTACATTACCATTATACTGTGGAAACCCCCGAGTTGAATACTCCTGTTCTCTCTGTCCTCAGAAGCAAAGACCATCCTCAGTTTTGTTTTTTTTTTGTTTGTTTGTTTGTTTTTTTGTTTTTCTCCCGTACTGGGAACCAAACTCATGACCTTGTGCTTGCCAGGCAGGCACTTTTGCCGCTGAGCTAAATCCCCAGCCCCCATCCTCAGTTTTGTGTTTGTCCTCTACTGATTTTCATTAGTTTGACCTCATATATTTGTATCTATACACAATGTACTGTTTCATTTTTAATGTTTTTTTAATTTTATATACACAGATTCATGTTGGCTGTATTCTTTAGGAATGTGCTTTTCCTGTTCAATCTTACGCTTGTGATTTTATCTACATTACTGTATGTTATCATAATCTATTAATTTTACTGTTACATGATATTCCATTAGAATTTCTTCTGCTATTGAGAGATGTTTGAACTATTTTCAGTTTTTTGTGTTTTATAAACATTGCTACTTTTGAGCACTTTTGAACATATGCAGGGCATATAATTAACTGGTTGTTGCATGTATAAAGGAATGCAACTGATTTTTTTGTTCATTGATTATATTCCTAACCAATTTGATAAATTACTTATTAATTTGGAATGGTCATAAAATAGGTTAATTGAGGTTTTCTAATTACTCTATCCCAATTTACAGCTTTACATGCTATGGTAGTCCAACATTTAGTTTTATTTGCTTTCAATATACAAATTAGACTTTTGAGACACAAATTAGATTTTGATGTTATTCTTTCATATACAAAGATTAGTTTTACTTGCCTGTTCATAAATACCTTTGCTCTCCACTTCTTGAATCTCAAGCTTTCCTTCTAGTGCTACTTTTCTAAGAACTTCAATTCTTTATATAGATTTGTGAGTGTTAAGTGTTTTTAATTGCTAAAATTGTTTGTCTTTCAACCTGGCTCTTGAAAAAATAGATTTCCTGTGTACACATTTATACGTAATAACTTTTCTCAGCTTTTTCAGGATATTATTTTGTTATTTTCCGCCTTCTATTATTACTCAAGGAGTCTGTTTTTGGTCTAATTGTCATTGCTTTATGGATGATCTGTCTTTTCACTTAGACTGCTTTATAAATTATTCTCGTTGGTGTACTACAATGTGTGTAGGTGTGACCTTTTAAAAAAAATGCTGTTTGGTGTGGTGGCACATGTCTATAATCGCAGCTCTCAGGAGGCTGAGACAGGAAAATCATGAGTTTGAGGCCAATGTGGGCTACGTAGGAATTCCCCCACCAGCCTGGATTATATAGTTAGACCCTGTTGGAAAAAAACAAATACAAAAATCCTGTTTAGTATATACATTCTGAGTACAGTATCTCAGTTTTGGAAAATACATAACTACAGTATTATCTCTTTAAATATTGCTTTTCCTTCATTCTCCCTACTCTTGTCATAAGGTATCCAATTTTATATCTTTTAAACCTTTTTGTTGTCCGTGTTTCTGGACTTCCTTTTATATTTCTATCTCTTTGTATCTCTCTGCTCATGGGTAATCTTATCAGATCTATCTTCCAGTTTACGAAATCTTTCTCTAGCCAAGTCTAATCAGTTGTTTACCCTTTCTATTGAATGTTTAATCTTAGTGACTCTATTTTTCACTTCTAAAACTTCTATTTGGTTCTTTTTCAAATCTACTGTATCATTATGATGGTTTTTCTTCCTTTCTTGCTTTCTATTTCATCTTTATCTTCTCACGTATTTAATAGATTGTTATTTTGTATTCCTTATGTGTTAATTTCAGTACCTGAAGTCACTGGAGAGCAATTTGCATTCCTGTTATCCCTTTTACACTCTGATTTGTCCTTATTTTCTCTTAGGTAAACACATCTCACTCATTACAAGACTCAAGGGACTAAATTATACTTTATAAATTAAAATAAAATAAAATAGACTCATTGCAAAAGAAGAGCAAAATCTGATATGACCCTTCAGAAAGTTCTCAAATTGAAGTCAAATCCAGGTTTGGCTTTGGGTATGACCAAACCTGAGAAGGAACATTACCTGGGGTGAGGTAACTTTTCAGCCAAAGCAGTTCCAGAAAGTTAACAGTTAAGGGTCCTTGACTGAGGAAATAAGGCCTTACTTTTGAAGGGAGACTAAAGCATAATGTCTCCTACAAAGACCCAAAAGAGAAATAAACTATCAGTTTATTTATAAAGAAATAAAATTGAATCACAAGTAAACATACTAAAATTTTAAAGTTTCCAGTTCATTCATAAAAGAATTACAAATTAAAATGTCAATGAAATGTCTTTTGTACTTCTAAGGGGAAAACTGTAGTAAGTTTGATAATACCAAATAATTAATTTGTGCCAGCATGTGGGCAAATAAAAACCTTTACAAGTTGACACGGGTGTGTTAATTGGTACAACCATCTGGAGAGTGATATCTTTTGCTACCTAACCAAGAGAAAAATCTCACATATATTCTATAAAAGGCAGGTAGAGGGAACATACTCTTTGCAGCCTTATTTGAAAAAAATAGAAATAACTATCCCTTGGTAGGAGAAGGAATAACTAAACCATGGTTTATTTATGCAGTTCAGCAAATGAACTGGTAGCAACAGGGCCATGAGTATAATACTGAAAGGAAAAGTTGCCAAAGGATATACATGGGTACTAGCACAACATAAAGGGTGCACATATATATATATATATATATATATATATAGTATATGTAAGTATAGACCTAGTTGTGCATATTAATTGTGTATGGGTGTGCACACATGTACAAAAATACAAAACACAGCATTAGCTGAATCCGTAACAGATGCAAAAGCTCATTAGGCAAAACACTGATACCTTTTTAATATAGTCAGTACATGGTAGTTATTAGATCCTTTCTGTACTTTCTAATAAAATATGAAAATAAATTTTTAGAGATTTATACTGTACACTTTTTCTGGATTTATTGGTTTATTTGTGCTTGCAGATAATATAGAGGTTTTGTTTAGAAAACTTCCATCAATATTTATGCTACATAAATTTATCGAGGGTTCCACACTTGTGATGTCTGGTTTCTTAAAAATAGGATGCTGCTCCAACAGAGTCTTTACTGAACTGGCAAGACTATGAGGGCCGCACACCTCTTCACTTTGCAGTCGCTGATGGAAACGTGACAGTGGTTGATGTCTTAACCTCATACGAAAGCTGCAATATAACGTCTTATGATAACTTATTTCGAACCCCACTTCACTGGGCAGCTTTACTAGGTAAGTTGGCTGTAAAGAAAGGATCGACAGTAGGAGGAATGCATGCATGGAGGAGAATTTCTGTACCTTCTCTTTTCCTGTTGCATTTCACCTCCTATGTAATTAATTTTAAGTGACACATTGAATGGTTTTATAAACTAACTCCCCCTACGGTATGCTTAATTTTTAGTAATATAAGGTTATTCTCCATTAGCCTGGTGTGGGGGCACACACCTATAATCCCAGGACTCAGGAGGCTGAGGCAAGAGGATTGCCACCAGTTCCAGAGCAGACAGGGCTCTGCAGTCAGTTAAGACCAATTTGAACCTCATAGCAAGAACCTGTCTCAATAAATAAGTAAACAAATAAATAAATTTTTATATTATTCTGTTAAATATTTTTTTTCTGTTAAATATTTTAATGTCAATATGTTTTAACTTTTCTTATAAAATGAATGACAATTCATTGACAACATGTAGCATAAACCTCTTTTCACAGTCACTGCCTTCATTTTAGGGGAGGAGGGCTTCAGTTTTATGTTTGTGCTGAAATCATGATATTTTGGTTTTTTCATCATATTTGCTTTTTACTTAACATTTTTGGGTGTCACATTTTTAGATGAGAGGCTTTATATTATGTACATGTTATATATATGTAGATGTTGAATTTTTCGAGGGTATAATTTAAGAGACTTTCTTTTAGTAAAGACATTCTACGTACCCATTCATCATCATTGTTAAAAGATCAGTAAACTGGTCTTTTTTCTGCTGTCATGCTGTTGGCATTTTCAGAGGTTTTTTTCTTAATTTTTTCACTTTGTTTTCTGCTTTGGGTATATACATTAACTTTGTTATTATTATTTGGTTTTGAATCGCCTGGTGTTGTAGAAGGCTATTTAGCCTCTATTCGTGATTATTTTTAAATTTATCAAAAGCATTTTTAAGCCTGAGATAAAGTCAAAAGCAATTCTTCACCTGTTGACTCCTACATATTTAAAACAAAGGATTGCAGCACAATTTATTGTAATTTTATTTTTTGTTAAAATACTAATTATTTTCTTGATCTTAATTTTAAAGTTATACATTGTGTCTTTTGATTTTTATATTTATATTCAGGTTTTATGGTCAAATTTTAAATTATTATTTAGACTTCATTTTAATGTGTAGTTTCATGCTTTTTTTTCCTTTTGCTTTAGAATGTGGGCATAGTTGCTAACTTTGTCTCCACAGCATTAAATAACTTTTTAATTCTCTAAATTTTCTTTCTTTCTGCCTCCTATATAGGTTGCAATTTAGATGGTATTTTCATTTCCTTCTGTCATGTGTATTTCTTTAAATCTCATCTTACTTCCTTTTACCTCCTTCCACTACCTTTTCATGTCCGCCTGCTTCATTCTTAGGGCATTCTCTTTGTGTCATAGACGCCGTCTCTCTTTGCGCTAAGTTGAAGATGCCAGTTTCCTGACTTTTTCCTCTGGATCCTTCTTTTCAGAGGTATGCTCTTTGTCTTTCTGATAATGTACCTTTTTGTCTGTCTTAGAGTGTATTTTTCTTTGATCTTTACTGACTTTTTCTCTTTATTCAAACAAGATGAGATATATTTAGATTACCTGTGAAACATAGGTTGCCTTTCACCCTACATTTGCATTAGGGCGACTCTACCTTAAACTGTGTATGAAAAATGACTGTATGAGCACAACTGTCCTTCAAATTCTGTTTTTATATCTGATTGGCATTCATATATCCTTGCTCTGCTAATATGGCATCTTCTTCACTGCCTGGCTCCCTAAATACACTGTCATAATCGAGTGTGGAACTCAGGTTTCCTATATATACACTGTTTATTAGCTTTATTTATTCGTTGATCTTTTCTACAGTTCTTTGTTTGTAGAAATCACTTCCTTCACACGGTGCTGCAGAGTATTATACCACCTCTTCATACCTGCCCCTTGTTTTGTGGGATTTAAAATCTCTGTGTAGATGTTAAGAGAGAGAAATTAGAATGCATCGTCAGGAGACTTCGGAGATAGAAGAGATTGTATTATTGTTTGTCTACCCGAAGAACAAGTGTGAACACCTGTGTAGTTCTGGTTGCTTGGACAGTGAAACCTTGAGACTAAGGACAGCAAAGCCTATGAGCACCTGAATCTAAAGCACCTTCCCTCCTTTGTTGCAGGCTGTTTTCCAGAATGAAGCCAGGGGATTCAATGAGGTGATACCTAATTGAGTTTATTTTTACTCCATCTGGCAGTTATATCCAGGGCCATTTCCTTCCTGATGGAAACATGAAGTTTTCAGTGTTGTTACTTTTCGCCTTTGTTCTGCCCTATCATCATAGGCTAGTGAGAAATTAGAAGAGGGGTTAGGGGGTGCTGCTGGTCAGGAACCATGCTGAGTGCTATATGAGCACATAGGTGCTCATCACTTTTCTTACCCCTTTCTTTTAAGTAGATTATGAATTACTTAAGGTTCTTTGTATGTGATAACTTTCTTGTCATGTCTGTCCTCAGGCCATGCACAGATTGTCCATCTCCTTTTAGAAAGAAATAAGTCTGGAACTATCCCATCTGACAGCCAAGGAGCAACACCCTTGCACTATGCAGCTCAGAGTAACTTTGCTGTGAGTAAAACAAAACAATTCTTTTTTCTTAATTTTATTTTTATATAATTTCAGATTCATGTGCAGTTGCAAGAAAATATACAGCAACATCCCATACGCCCTTCACCCATTTTAGCTGTATGGTAACATCTAGTACAATATGATAAACAGGAAGTTGACACTGACTTTATTCAAATTTCACTTTTATAAACACTCATTTGTCTGTACTAGTATAGCACTTATCTTTAAATAATTGTTCGCATTATTGATTCTGACTCAGATGCAAGTGATAGCTTTTGTAAAGTTGTTAGTCACATAGGAAATTTTATGCAGTTTTTATTTTAATGTTCAATGTAATTTCTATTTTATGGTAAACATATCTCATCCTTTTCTTGCTTCTGTAGCACTAACTATATCTTAGTGTGCAGCAGTCTGTAATTATCCTGGAACTGGAAAAATCTGGCTGGAATCTTGACTGTGCGGTTTGCTAGCTTGACCTTACACAAGACTCCTAACCTCTCAGAGTCGTTTCTTTGTATGTAAAACAAGAACAAGTATACATTTTCTTTATGATAGTTTTAAAGGTTAGTTATAATAGATAGGTACCTACTATAGTTGTTTGGATAGAACAGATACTCAAGAAATAGAATGTTTTCTTATTACTATTGCTATCATTGTATGTATTATACATTTAAGAAAGCAAACATGAGTTTTTATTTCTAGAAGTATTTACTCTTAATATTTCTCTTATAGCTCTTTATAATTTACAAAGCACTTTCTTATCTGTTATGTCCTGATCCACCAAGCAGTAACTGAGTAGTGTCTAACTATTGTTCATATTCTAACTAGTTCCTGAATATGAATGGCCCCCAAGAACCAGGGACTTGCACACATTAAAGCAGTCACAGTTCTGCATGGGTGTGCATAGTGATACCCTTGGTTTCATTGAATTATAGTAATACTATCATCAGAACAGTGTGAGTCCAACTGCTTGACCTCTCCAGATGTTTTATTGAGTACTCAGTTGCTAAAATATCTTAATTTCACATCCTTCTTAGTCTCTGATATCCAGAACAAATATACATCTGGTCCTTCCTTCTTGACAGTCCCAAAAGTTTATTCAATTTATACCCTAGAATTTTGACAAACTATTATCCCCCAACAGCTCAGAAAAAATAAAAGTAAATGTTTGAGGAGGGATCCTTTCTTATTACAAATAGATAAAAAATTCACTTTACCCAGGTTAGTCAATCTATGTAAATGAGAACTCAATCGGTATTCAACATAAGCCTATTATGTAGGTCATATCATCCCATTCACAGATTTTTTTTTTAAAAGCCAAGATTCGAAGAGGTTAAATGACTTGCCCATGATCTTGAACCCAAGTTTTAGACCTCAAGTTTGTTTTTTAGGGTTTCTTTTGGTACCAGGAATCAAACTCAGGATCTTGCACTTGCCAGGCAGGTGCTTATGCTGCTGAGCTATATCCTTGGCCCAATAGAACTCAAGTTTAATAAATGAACAGGTATCAGTAATTAAATAACTGTATTAAGAAAGAATTGTAGGATGCTATGGATGTTTAGTCATAGAAATATTTGCTGTAGATAATGTTCAGAGTTGATTTTCAAAAATCAGCTCCAGAGTTATTTTTAATAATGATGCAAATTTTCTAAACTCTGTGATCACTTTGGCCTCTATCTCATAAGTGCCAACACTCTTTGAAAAACACCAAAGAACAACAACAAACTCTACAAATATTTGTCATTAAGAAAAATATACACAAAAAAAGAAAACAAAAATATACACAACAAAGAAATGTTTTCAAATTAATGAAAGAAAACAAGGCCAAAAAGTCAACTTTTAAAATTCTTGGCTGGGGATATAGCTCAGTGGCACGGGTGCCTTCCTGGCAAGTGCTAGGTCCTGAGTTCCGTTCCCAGTACCAGAAAAAAAATTCTGTTCTAGATTGAAATATATTTAGTGTGCATACTTATTAGATCTTATGAGCACTCAGCCATTATACCTCAGTGGGTCAACACTAGTTTTAAGACGAGGAAACAATGTATGATGCAGTGAAAAAAAAGAGGGGGGAGGCTGTGATTTAGCACTGGCTTCTACTCCTGTGTTTACCATCAATATTGATATGACCTTGAACCTAAATTTCTTCATCTGTAAAATGAGGGAGCCCTTGAATTTATTCTTTCTGTAAAATACTTAATCAGTATTATATATATTTTTGGTCAGCTCACAGCCTCCAGACATCTCTTTATGAAACTATTTTGTATCCATTTAAACAAGTTTTTTGGTCTTCCTAAAAATTTGTAAGAGTCTGAGTTCTGAGTGAAGAAGTAATTTTAGAATGATGGAGTGTTAACCCCCTTTAAAATTGCCACGTATAATCAGGATTATCAAGGGACCTAATTTTTGTGTGATTCCACAGGAAGGACATTTGCATATAAAAAATGCTAAATAAATATTTTACTGAACACTGCATTATCTTAGTAACCATGTCACTATTCAATAAAGGTATTAACCACCTTTTAAAACTTTAGTAACAAAATAGACTACAAGGCAATATTTACCTTCTCTGGAGGCATACCTAATTATCTGGGTCTCTACATGTGAAATGCTCAAGAATGCTTTAATGTTACCCATTATATCAATGCCCATTGTATCAACATCTATAATGTTGCCCACTATATTCTGGGTCTTTTAATTGTTACCTCCTCTAACAGTGGTCTAAAAGTTTTCAAGCTTGATTGAAGATAATTCTCAATTTTGAGGTTGTTGAATAAGGGAGTTGGATTATAGTTTTGAAGGGTTATGGAAACTAAAACCCATCAGCACAAAAGAATATTATTTTCAATGAAAAGTGTACTTCTGTAAAGTCAGTTTCATTTGATTCAGAAGCAAGGGGAAATACTTTGCTTCATGCTGGAAATCTCATAGAACACTTTTGTTGTTACATAGAAATGCTGCTCTGTCATCTCAATCTTTTAACGAAGTTTTTTTTACAGGAAACAGTGAAAGTATTTTTAAAACATCCTTCAGTGAAAGATGATTCAGACCTGGAAGGAAGAACATCCTTTATGTGGGCAGCAGGGAAAGGCAGTGATGATGTCCTTAGGACCATGCTGAGTTTAAAGTCTGACATTGATATAAACATGGCGGACAAATACGGAGGCACAGGTAGGAACTGATAGACAGGTTCGATTTGCTTTCATTCAGGTTCCAAAGGGTAGGCTGTACCATAAAGTCTGTGAAATAGTAACCCGAAAGCATTGTTCCTAATCTAATATCGTGTGAATTTGCTCTTCATTTTTTGAATTTGCCAGGATATCACTCTAAAGGCTTCATTCCTTCCAAATATTATATCCAAATTTAGAATATATTCCTACCAGATGAATGGTGGCATTTGATTTAAAAACCAGTCACTCCTTTTACTTGATCATGGAAACTCTTCTCATCATTTATCTTTATGTTAAAAAAGCATAAACTTATATTTTAAAATTATGCATATTTAGTAATTAATTATATTTAGTACTTATTAATTATATTTTCAAAAATATAGAATTGTGTGTAGGAAATGCACACATCTAAGTGTTCTCTCGCCCGTTTCACTTACTGTGCATCTTTCTCAGGTCTTAGTAGCATGACTGCACCCTGAATGCCTCCTTGGGGTTTTGTTTTGCTTTGTTTTGTTTTTGTTTTTCTTCCGGTACCAGGAATCGAACTCACGACCTTCCACTTGCCAGGCAGGCGCTATGCTGCTGAGCTAAATCCCCAACCCCCTGAATGCCTCCTTTTAGAGATAACTTCCCATGACTGCGCAAGCTTCACACCTTCAAGTCAGCCTGGAAGAAAAGCTTTCACTGCATGCTTCTTCAGCCTCTTCCTCTAATAAGAGAGCCCTTTAACTATGTACTGGTTACCACGAAACACACCTTTCTCAGCATTAAGTTTCAACTTGGAGTTCTCTTCCTTCTGTCCTACATCCTAATTGCAAGTCCAAAGGAACAAGAAAAATCACGCACTAGCACTGTAACACTGAATAGAATAAAAACTTCTGCCGGGGTTCACCGTGTGAATCAGGTGATTCAGATAAATAAACTATTAAGAAGGAGAAAGCCATCAGAAACATATGACAACTCAGTCCTGGACCTGAGGCACTGCAATCAGACGTGCGCTGTCAATAAGCACTCCATTAAAATCTTCCGGTAGGGGGCAGTAGAGGGAATCTGGAGAACGAGGAGGCGGAAATACAGCCTCCTCTCTACTTCCTGTTCTTGTTTCCAGCACGGCCCGCACCAGCCTGGCACCCTCCTTCAACGCCGCAGTGACAGTTTGTGTCAGTGACAGTTTCACTCGGCATGTTTTTCAACGTTTCACAGTGCCAGCCTCAAACCACCCTCCTCAGAGATGCCACCGCCCGCCGAGAAGAGCCCCTTCTCACGGGCCTGAAATTGCACTGACAGAGCTCGTCTAAGATTTTAGGTTTTGATAATTCTGTCTTTTCTTTTTTATTTTTCCAGTTACAGGATCGGGAGCTATTTTCTGCATCTGCTACCTCTGTACATCAGATACCTGAAGTTAGTTCTCCTTCATCTTTCCAATTCAGTACATAGCTAACGATTCTTTATGTTGAATCTTCTCTGTCAAAATGTCTGGCCAAGTAGTTTCTGTCTGCTGACTGCACCCTGACTCATAACACTGGTGTATTTAAGAAAAAATTCTTGTCCTTCAGCGAAAGTGAAGTGTTTACAAATGAAAGGATATGACTCTGGAATTTTCTGCAAACACGGTCACAAGTGTTGGCGAATGGATGGTGGTTAGTCGAGATGAGATTAGCTATGTATTGATGACTGTTGAAGGTGGCTGACGGTTGTATTGAGTTCACGGGACTATTGTTTTTTCTTATAAGTAGTTTGAAGTTCTCTGTAATACAAACATTTTTTAAAAATGTAAGGTTCTGACCGGGTGTGGTGGCTCACGCCTGTAATCCCAGCACTGGGGAGGCTGAGGCAGGAGGATCATAGCAAGTTCGAGACTAGCCTCAGCTACAAAGTGAGCTCAAGGCCAGCCTGAACTGCATAAGTGAGACCTTGTCTCAAAAAAAAAAGACATAAAACAAACAAACAAATAAAAATGTAAAGTTCCTATGTAAACTAATAGCACTTTTTCGAAGAGGAAGCAACAATCATTAAGTCTAAGGTTTTCAAAAAAATAAATACAAATAGAAATGGGAATTTCCTTTAATGTGATTATTAGTTATATCTTTCTATTAACTGAAATTTTATCTACTGTCTTAAAATTTGGCATTGATACTATAGAGTATTACCTACAGAGCATTTCATACTTGGTGCCGTGTCACAGAATTGTACATTTCAGAATAAGAAGTTACCTTAAAATTAAGCTTAGCTCTAGGATTTCACATCATGTGCTTCAGAACAGATTTCTGTAGAGGTACCTGACGTAGTGCTGAGGGAGTAGACGGTCAAGCGGATAACCCTTGACCCCTTATTTATTTTATGTGTTGAGTGTTACAAAATTTTATTTTGGGAGGAAAGGGGTTTTTAGGCTCTAAAAATGTGAAAGTCCCTGAACTGTCACAGATATTTATCTTGCTTTTATTTGCCTTATACTATTCTCACCAGTGGTCTTTCAGTTTCTGGTTCCACAGTTCCAGTACAGTGAACCTACTATTTTCATTGTAGCCTAACTCTATGGGAATGTTCTTCTTTATGTTGAGCCTAAATGTGACAACTGAATGTTCAGTCTGTGCTCTCTCCATGTAGTAGCACTGCAGGTATGTAAAGTCTCTCAGACGCGTTTGAATCTCATCCAGCTCGAATGAACCCACAGTCATTTAGGTCAATACTTCAGAAACTCAAGAATGTGTAAGCATTCCTAGAGGTTTTTGTTTAAATGCAGGTTCCAGGCTGCATGTACAGAGACCCTATTTTAATCCTGTTGAGACTTGTCGAGTCTACCTCCATAATACTCTAAATCGGGGCTGGGGATTTAGCTCAGCTGCAAAAGCGCCTGCCTGGCAAGCGCAAGGTCGTGAGTTCGGTTCCCAGTACCGGAGAAAAACCAAAAAAAAAAAAATACTCTAAATCTCTCTGCTTCCCTTCAGCTCCGGTCCTACCACCCACATTCAAGCCACCATCACTTTTCACTGCTTATTGAAATTTGTTACCTGGTTTCCTTGCTTATACTGTAATCTCCTCCTATCAGCTAGAGTGACCTGTTTAAAACAGATTGGACACTGTCACTCCCGTTTCAAGCCCTGCTGGTCTTTTTTCCCCTTGTCACTTGCGTCACTTTCACAGTACTGCAGCCACCCTTGCCTTTCTTAAGCACACAAAGTAATTCATGTCCTGTAGTAATTGTTCCCTTTCCCCCAAATCCTCTCTTAGTTATATTTCATGTCTCGAATGTATAAAATACTTTCTATTGCATTAATTATCGCATTCATCACTTAACCTAAGAATTCGTTGATAGGGTTTATCAGTTAGAGTTCACTAAAGGAACAGATTCAATATAAAATATATCTGTGATTACATAAAGGCTTTACAAGGTAGGCTTACAATGGCCACTTGTGGACTGCCCTAGAAGCCCAAAGGAACTGGAGATGAACATCCAAAGGCTAGAGCAGACACTGAAGCTCCTCCCAAGAAGAAAAAGGAAAACTTCCTTCTTCTTTCCCTTTTTATTCTATCCAGGATACAAGCCTCCTGGTGGGTGCCACCCACAGGCAGGGTGGATCTTCCTTCCTCAGGTTGTGGCCTATGTGTCAGCCATCCACGGACATACCTAATGCTTTACTAATCTTCTAAGGGGTTCTTGACTAAAGTCAAGTTGACATTTCATAATTAACGATCACACAGTAGTTTTTTTGTGCTTTTGCTGTTTATTTTGCTTTGCTTTGCTTCCCTTTCTAGAATGTAGCCTTATCTATTTTGTTCCCAGGATTATAGTAGTACCCGACCCAAAAGTCTGTATTTTTACAGACATTGCAAGTTTGCTCGTGCGTTACCTTTTATGGAAGAGACACTGTTCTAGGCATTCTAGAGCCATAATACCTAGAAAGAACCTGTGTAATCCTCTGAGCTATTCAAATGGGCCAATTCAAACCTAAAGAGGAACAGCATAAGTCAGGCATTACATTGGAGTAACAAGCAGAGACCAGCATAACAGTAAACACACATAGCAAAATTATTCTTTAAAATCACTTAGAAGGAACCAAAGAGAAGACAGTACATAATATCTCAAGTTTTCTCCAATGCTGAAAATAACTGATTTCTTAAAAATTGAGCCCTGAGAAAATGGCTTGCATTGGAAGCCATGCTATATGAAAAATATACTCAATGCAGCAAGATGTATGTGCATCAGTACAGATAGGTACACAGAACAACGAAAGAACTAGCACACATAGCCAGTTGAAAGAACAATGGGCTGATGTCCACAGTCATATGGCCCCTTGGAGACATGTGTTTATTGAGGGGGAGAAATGCCTGCATTATTTAAATCATTTCTCTTCGTCACTTTTGTTCTCTTCCTCTCCTAAAAGAGAAAAGATTTAATAAACTGGTGTCTGAGAATAGGATACAATTTCAGACCAACAGGATGGACAGGAATAAAACAATGAGAAGAGCAAGGTAGAAGGAAAGGGGAAAGGTATGAGTAATACATATGAGTAGGAAGAAGTTCGAAATCTATACAAGTAACAAATAAACTGGAGAATCCTTAAGATTTGGATTGCATTAGTTAAAATAAGAAAAGGTTACAGTTTGTCACTTTCTTTTGCTTCCTCTTTAGCTTTACATGCCGCTGCCCTTTCCGGCCACGTCAGCACTGTGAAGTTATTATTGGAAAATGACGCTCAAGTAGATGCTACTGATGTCATGAAACACACTCCCCTTTTTCGAGCCTGTGAGATGGGACACAAAGATGTAATTCAGACACTGATTAAAGGTTAGTTAATATGAGTACTCTGATTGAGTCACTCACAGAATATAGAAATTTTTGCACATTCAACTTGAAATAAAGCTTTCCACAGCAGAGATCCACGCGGTAGAAGAATTAAGGAAAAGTGCCAAACCTGACATCAGGAACTTCCAGATCCATCTCAAGCCCCACCCCTATTGGGAGTTGTTTAACTTTGGAAAAGTCCTTCACTACGGGACCCTCAGTGACAAGTGCTGTAAAAGGGGAGTCATTCCTACCCGAGCCAATACACAGGCTTGGATAACGTGAAAGTAGGCGGTGTATATGGAACCATTTTAATGAGTGTGAAGTATTTAAGGCACTCTAGTCACATTTGTTTAACCTTTATTTTTGGGTGCTGGGGATGAAACCCAGGGCCTCACGCATGCTAGCCAAGCACTCTACCCCTGAGCTACATCCCCAGCTCAACTTCTATTCCTTTTGGTAAGTGCAAGCTACATTAGACATTTTAATTTTTTTCTTTTCAGGTGGAGCAAGAGTAGATCTAGTTGACCAAGATGGACATTCACTTCTGCACTGGGCAGCACTGGGAGGAAATGCCGATGTTTGCCAGATTCTGATAGAAAATAAGATCAATCCAAATGTACAAGATTATGCAGGAAGAACCCCTTTGCAGTGCGCTGCATATGGGGGATATATCAATTGCATGGCTGTGCTCATGGAAAATAATGCAGACCCTAACATTCAAGACAAAGAGGTAGAAATCCTGGGTCTTTTCTGTATTGTTTGCTACAAAGCGTTTATAGTATTTCTTCTTTGTTGTAAAGTTAAATAAAACAACAGTCAACAGTTTACCAAATGAAGAGATCACTCACAAAATCCCATCTGATAAGTATGATTTTTAGTGGTCCATGTTCTCTTCTAATCCTCATCTATAGCTATATATAATTTAAAATGGCCACAGTATAAACTGGGAACAATATTATAACTTTTATTAATAAATATAGATAGCACAACATAAATATATGTTATATGGTTTTACAGACTACTTCTTTTCATTCACCTAAAGTTACTGTCAACATTTTCTCATTTATATATAATCTTTTTCATAGTCCTGAATGCTTAATGTTGCAAAATTCTAAGAACTTTACGTGTAGTAACGCGTTCCTTAGAACAACTCTATAAAAGGGTTATGATTATTACTGCATTTACAGTAAAGAAACTGATACTCATATTTACTCTAAATATGTAAATAATTACCCCTACCATGATATTTGGAACTGGGAGGTGAGGATGTATATGTGTCTTTTTTTTTTTTTTTTTTTTTTTTTTTTTTT